AAGCCCCTACCCGCAGCACCCGTGCCCCAGGCGCACCCACAGCCCAGGCAGCCTCGCACAGCTCGAACCAGTGCCTTTCTCTCCAGTTCTGCAGGGCAAGCGCCTGCCCTCAGCCTCCTCTTTCTAGGAGAAACTCAGCCGAAGGTTTTTAACGTGAGTGCATCCTAGACCACGACTTTGGGAAGGAGGGGACCCAGGGCTGTGCCCTGCCAGGGCAAAGCCAGAGCTGGCCCCAGAAGGGCAGGGTGGCAGCTGGGTGACCCAGCCCTCTCGGGCTGTCCCCACGGGTGGCTGCATCCCACGAACGGCAGCCAACGTTGGACAGGGCGAACACAGCATCGTGCCCACGCGTCCCTCTGCCAGAGCTTAGCCTTGCAGGTGACACCTGTGACAGGCCAGAGCTTTAGCCCCAGCCCTGCGCCCACCCCAGCCCTGCCTGTTGGCTGCCAACCCCCCTTCCTCAGAAGTCTGGCCAAAAATTAAGGTGGCCTGAGCCCAGCAGCTCCTCCACCTGCGCACCCACCTCGCCCTGTCCCTCTGGGTCTCATTTAAGAAGGAAACAGGGGTGAAGATCCCCTTTCTCCCGTGCTGCCTTCCCGCAGAGGCTCCCGGGTCCACCCCCAAGCACCATCCCCACCTCCCCTGTCTTCTCCATCCCATAAAGGCATTCAGTGCTTTGGTGCCTAAATAACCACACAAAGCCGGCCGGTATCGCAGATCCCAGCAGCCACAAAAGCAATCGAGGCAGAAAGCAGAGCAAGGAGAAGGGTGGGAGAGAGGCCGCAGGGATGGTGCTGTGCATGGCGCACACAGGGTACGGATCCGGCACAGCTCCACTCCGCTGCCACCCTGTCCTACCCTCACGGCAATTAAGGGAGCTAAAATAAATAGGGATGGTTTCATCCCTGCAGGGATAATTCCTCCTCCCCGGGTGGCGGGTGCTTGCAGGGCTGCCCCGGAGGCTGGGGAGGAGGCAGCCAGAGCCGGGGGGCTGGAAATGGAAATTTCCCAGGAAGAGAGGAAATCGCTTCTTTCTGGGGCGTAACCAGCCCTCGCCCTCCAACAACTTTATTTGCTGCTGTCGTGTCCCTAAATAGCTCCTCGAAGCAGCTGCTGAGAGTTTACATCTCCTTCACCTCTGCTCCCCTCCAGCCCCGGGAAAGCGGCTCACCCAGCCCCGATTTCCAGAGGAACTCACCCATGGTGGGGGAAACCTCCTGCAGCCGCCGCAGGGACCCAGCAGCACGGCTGCCTGCCCCAGCACAGCCCCACGGCTACAGGCAAGATGCTGGGGAGCGCAGAGCCCCGGGACGCGTGGGGCTGTAAGGTCAGGAGTGGAAACCACCCAACCTCTGGTGGGTCTGGAGCCAAGGATGAGCTTGGGGTCCTTTCGGAGACGGGGTGATGTTGTGCCAGGAGGGAAGCGGTTCCCTGGGCGCAGTGGGGCTGGCAACCCGCTCCCGTGACCCCTGAAGTGGGTACCCCAACCTGTTCGCCATCTGTGCCCAGGGCTGGGGCTGGATCGGCACAAGAAGATGTGCCCGGGAGAGCAAGTGGCGAGGGGAGGGCAGATGCAGGGGCCGATGCTTGTGCTCAGCCAAAGCGCTGAAGTCAGCACTCCCCGGAGCCATCTGTTCCCAGCCAAGCCCCGGCGCAGACGGACTCGCCCGGGCCCCCGGCAGCGGATGCCGCAATTCGGTGATTCACACGGCGAGGGGCCGGGGATGGCGTAAAGCTGGACACTGCCTCTGCGGCCGCGCAAACTCCGGGGATGGGGCTGGGAAATTATATACTAGCCGCGCTGCTGAAAAGCTTTTTCAACCATTTTTCTGGTCGTGTGAGCTGGCTTTTAAATGGCAGCACAGCTCTTCACGGCTGGGCCAGAGACCTGACTCAAGCTGGTTTTTCCCTTATTCCAGAGCACAGGTAACCTCCTGCTCCACGGGCTCTAAATGCTCATTTGAAAAGGCCAAGTTCAGCAAGCAGCCTATTAGCTAAGCCAGCGAGAGCCTCTGCACTTGTCTCCCAGGTGTAATTGCAAAATGCAGCATCGATAGAAGCTTCTGGGGCGTCTTGGACCTGTTTCTTCCCTGGATTACTCCAAGCTGCCCAGCAGCCAACGCAAGGCAGGAGCCCCCGACAGAGCAGAGCTAGCCTGCGCAGCTCTGCAGACCGGGGAAACTGAGGCACGGCAGCGCAAAGCAGCAGCAGGCGGCTGCAAAAACCCAACTGTACAGCATTTACTCTGTGCAATCACCCCACACCGTGATGGGCTCCCTCTGCTCCATACCCAGCCTTTGGGAGCGGCACACAGGACGTCACGGGAAGTGTGGCGTGAGGAGCTGCGGGAAGGGAGCCGCGCAGCCTTGCCCGGCCGGTCTCGAGGCCATCCCTCACCAGATGCTGATCTCCACCAGCTTTGTTCAGTCTCATTAAAGCTAAGCTGAGCCATAACTCATCGGAGCAGGGAAGTCCACATTAAGAGCTGGCAGCGCCGACTTCAGCTTTTCAGACCTCCTTCCAACAGCAGCCGGGTGTCACTCACAGCATCACCTTCCCGGCTCCTTACCTGCTGCCGAAAACGGCTTTGGAGCTGCTCCTCCGGCTGCTCGGGAGAGTGGAGGGCGAGGGGGTGGCTGCCCTCGAACCACTGTGGTGGGGACGTACCTGGAGCAAACACCCACAAGGTTAATGGTGCCCAAAAGCAGCACCCAAAGGTGAAGAGGAGCCTGCGAGGGCTCCCCAGCCCGCTCGTGGCCCAGGCAGGCAGCTGGGGCGTTGCGGGCAGCTAGGTCACCCCCGCCAGCCCCGGGGGTGCTGGGTCACCCCTCCAGCCCCTCACTGCTCCCCGTTACCGGCCTCCCGGTGCCACCTAATGACAGAGCGACCAGGGATAGGGACCTTCATGGGGAAGCTGGATGGATCCCAGGCCCCAGAGAGAAGGCTGGAGAGCGATGGAGAGGCAGCAGGAGAGCCAGCCTGGGAACACAGGCAGCAGAGGACAAGAGGTACATAATTGTAATGACCCTTCCTCTGCCCATGAGGCTCAGTCCTCCATCCCTGCCTTTCGCTGACCTTGATCATCCCATGGTTTTCCCGCAGCCTATCATTAACCCCAGGGCCTTGGTCAAGTTTTGGGCTCAGCAAAGACAGATGCTCCCCTTAATCTGTTGTAACAGCCCAAAAACTACGCTGAAGCATCACCAGTTTGGGAACAGCCCTTTGCCGCGCTCAGTGCGAGCACAGCGGCCCGTATCACGGCTACAAAAGCACCCTGACATCAACATTCAAGGCAACGTGGAAGAAAACCCCAGGGAAGAGCCGGCCCATCGCTTCCCAATACCTGCACATTTGCTGCAGCCACAACCACCCCTTCACCGTCACGTTTCTGGCTGGGCTATCTACCGAAACGGCTGCTTGCCGCCCCGAGCGCAACCCCCTCACCTCTGCACCCCCCTTTCCAAAGCCCTTATTCGCCTCCGAACCCAGAGCTGATGTAATCTCCTGCTCAAGAGTTCAGCATTAGGACTGCATCAGCCGCGAGACTTAACGAGAGCCACATCACACAAGCAGCTGTTCGACAAAAGCTTTATTGCTCGTTTGCGTACGAGTTCCCAGTATCACATTTCCTGAGTTTCTTAACGAGCTTGCAAATGAGATTTAAATAGAAAAGGAAGGGGGGGAAAAAAGGAAAAAAAAAAAGAGAGAAGCCACAGATCTTCCTTCCCTAAGGTTGGACCAGAGATGAGGTGGGAGTACAGTGCCCGGTGGGCAAGCCCTCCGCCACGGGAGATGGAAGCCGAGCGTGGACCTGAGACAAACCCCCGGCAGCTGCCCTGGCTCCATTTACCCTCTGCCTCCATCACGGAGTCTAATTTGTTTCTACACACAGCCACCGGCCATTGCCGTTGTTGCCATTTGCCCAGGTCAGAGAGGAGCGGCTGCAATCCTGCAGCGCTCCGCGGGGAGCGCAGGGGTCAGGGACGGCGGGGGTGGGAGGACGGCCAGGGGAAGGGGCCACGCTCACGGCCCCTGCGCCACGGATAAAGAGGAGATTACGGCCCACGGCTTGTAATCTGGCTTAAAACCTGACACCGTCACCGTAGTCAATTTGGGCTGAGAGAAGCATTTAATAAGCTTCAAAACATCAAAACACACAGACCAAAAAAAAACCAAACCCCACCAGTGAATGAAGTGAAAGGGCTCAAGGCATTGCTTGCACCAGTCAGCGCTGGCAGGTACCAAGGAACGCAGGATCCCGCATGATCCAGAACAAGGCAATTACACGCTTGTTATCCCAATCCACCCCACGAGCTGGGACCCAGGCTCTGCCGGGGCTTAACTGTGGGAGGCAGAAAGCAAATTAATGCCCTTTTCTGTTTGTTTAGAGCTCACAACAAGCAGAGAGCCAACGGTCCCTGCCGGCGCGAGGGGAGCTGCCTTGCCTTGGGACGTGTCGCAGGAGACGCGGCGCTCGGCTGCCTGCTCCAAGATTAAGGCAGTCACAGACAAAGAAGCCAGACTCAAGCGGCAGGTCCGATTTGGCTTTCCTGGAAGGGTCTATTTAAAAAACAATTATTATTAAAAGAAGCCTGCTCAGGCACGAATGACACAGCAATGAAGCCATTTGGCTTGAGGCTTGAAGGGGAGGCAGCAAGACACGAGGAAGTTTCTCTGTGCGACTTGCCGTGGGGAAGGTGCCGGGCCAGGACTGCTGCCAGGCGCACATCTCCCCTCGCCAGTTTGTTAACACTCGAAGGACCCGAACGACAAGAATCGCAGAGATGCAGGGCCAGCCAGCAGCCTCGGATGTTTTGAAACACTCACTTTAGGAACCCAGAGTTCATCGTTACCAGAAAGGCTCAAGTGTCGCACACCTCCCCGGAGCGGCCGCTAGCCCGGGGCACAAGCCCTGCGCTCCAGGGCTCTGCCCGGAACCCGCTGGCGTTGCCCCAGGACAGTACCAGTTGGACCAGTGCCGCATTCCCACTGCTGCTGCTTTAGTGACCGATCAACCGCAGCATCTCCTGAGGATCCACTATCTTTTCCCGGGGTTTTCCAGCAGCTTTGCCTCTTGCCACTTCAGCAGCATCTATCTTCTCCCAGTCCGAGAAGGAAACAGGACGGACCCCTGGGGTGACGGCCAGAGACAGGAGGGAGAGGTTAACCAAGTAAAAACGAGTTCGGCCTCACCTCCCCGTTAGCAGGGACCTGATGTGCCAGCAAACCCTGCCCTTTTCCGAGACGGCGTCAGACTTCAGCCTCACAAAGCAATAATAATTTCCAACACCGCGAGGATCAGGATGGCAGGTTTCAGTCAACTCGGATCAGTCAGACCTTTGCAAGCCCTAACAACAGCAAGCACGGCACCACCTTAGGGGACAAAACACTTCCAGTGCACTGTTAAACCTCAGACAGTTAAAAGCTAAAACACACACACTTTAATTGAATGCCTTTACACGCAGCAACAGCAAATGACTCTCTTGGGCATTTTAATCTTTCCCCCAACTTGCCTGGAAGGATCGCTAGGAAAACCACTCAAGAGCAATAGCTCGCTGCCTAGGCGGCTGACAGCGACATTTTACCCAAGGTCCGTGCTGCTTTTCATGGCCCTTCCCAGAAAACGGTCATTAACCTTAGCAATGACACCGACTTTGAGGGAATTCAAGTCCCGCTCTCCCTGGGCTCTGGAGCAACGAAACAGCAGCACAACACGTCTCCTCGGTTCGCACTCCACTCCCAAAAGTGGCTCGCAGCACTCGCTGCCCCAGGATACCCCGATCCAGGAGTCTGGCTGCAGCGTACCTTCACGGTCACTGCTACAGCAGCTCACACCCCCAGCACTGACCTCGGCTGTGCAGGATGCTCTCCACAGCCCCAAAGCCTTCTCTGGAGGCGGACGCGTCCAGCACGCCCACCTGGAGATCCTCCAGCACCGACTGGGCAGTGTCAAAGCTGTCGTTCATGGTGGTGATGATCACGCCCGTGGGTCCTCTCTTCACCCACCCGCTGCAGTACAGACCTGCGTGGGCATGCAGAGCAGCCAGGCTCAGTCCAGCGTGTGGCCGTGGACCCTCCTGGCTGCAAGTCCTGGCCCTGGGTGTCACATCAAGCTGCAGGCAGTGGAAGAATCCACCCCTGTGGTGGGGACAGAATGTGGCCCTTCAACGGTGCTGTCACAGCAATTTCTGTACCTACAGACCGGCACGGAGCAGCCATGTGGGCTGTATCGCTTTAGTAACAGGCTCCAAGGCCCAGTAAAACAACCACAACCTTCAGCACTGTTTGCTGCAAAACCAGACACCCCTAACGCGAGCTGGGGACGGGCCAGGTCTCAACGCCTGACAGAGGCGGCTTGTTTCCTCAGTTTCCACTCTCCAACCAAGGTTTGCGACCGCCTTGTGTCAGTGCCCCTGGTGAAGGGAGCTTCCCACCCCAAAGCCCCCAAGCCACCAGCTGCGCTCAACACGTCCCCGGCATCGCCCTGCGGATACAGACCTGGGACGCCCTCCACTCTGCCTGAGCTGTTGGGGATAACGCCGCGCTGGCTGTCGAAGGGTACCGCTGGGTCCAGGGGCAGGCTCCGGTAGCCAATACTGCTGAGCACCAGCCCACACTCCAGCTCCTCCACATCTCCAGTGGGGACGGCTTTGGCGGAGTCACCCGAGCCCTGAGAGAGGGAGGAAGAGGCTGCTGACCACCAGACAGCCATCACATGCAGAGCAGCAGCCTCCTGCAGTCCCCTTTGGCACCCTTGATCCCCGAGTATTTGCTAAAGGCCTTTCTGCTGCAGCAGCAGCAGCATGGGAAGAGCTCCCTTTAGACAGAGAAAGGCTCTTGTCGCTGATACCAGCTTCCCCGAGAGCCTGCCAGCGGCCACTCCAACCGGCCAGGGAACACAAAGCTGTCTTTGGAGAGATTCCCAAGGGCTGCAGGGATGCAGCAGTGTCCTGCTCCAGCCCTGCTAGGGCCATACCAGCCCCGACACGAGCTCGTACCTCCAGGCGGGTCAGGGCCATGCGGACACCCCTCGCCTGCCTCCCGTCAGCGGTGGCCAGCACCTCCTGGGGGCTGCACTGGAACTTCAGGCCCCACTCCCGGGGGGCTGCTGCCTGCACCTCCGTCATCTTCTCCCCAGGCTTCTCTAGGGCTGTTTTGATCATCAGCTCAGTCAGTCGCTTCCTCGGCCTGGGAGCATCTAGAAAGAGAGAGAGCGCTTCAGGACAGGAACCTCAGCAAAAGCCCCTCGGGACATGGCACGGAGCCGAGGTCATGTCGAGGCAGTTTCAGTGGTGTGTGAGTGTCCATTCGGAGTTTGTCATGCTGATGGGAGTCCGGTGCCTTTGAGATGACAAACTACAAATCAAAGTGACCAGGAGAGCTCCTGAGGCTTGAGGCCAGTGGGACACACAAATCAAAGCCTGCAATTTTGCTGTCTTGCTGGTGCTCAAAGGCAGCAGCCTGTGGAGAAGAGCAAGTCTCTGGACACCCTTGGACTCAGTGTTTTCTTTTTAGCTCTGCAGAAAGCTCTTAAATCAATAGCCTTGGGACCTCTCCTGCCAGGTTCCCCCAGCCCTCCTGAACCTCCTGCCCTCATCACTCAGAGAGTAAGCATGGCTCCCAAGCAGCAAAGTGGTTGCAAAAACAGAGAAATAGGTTGTTCCCTTGTCTTGGTGGCCTCCCAGCACTCTGAGGAGAAGCCACACCACGGTCGCCTGGCTTTCACACACCGTGCATTAAACACAAGGCAAAGAGTTTCTCTGATGCACATTCTGAGCATCCCCAGAGCACTCCTGGATGCTCACCTGTCAAGGGGAGTCCCTGTCTGGAGGAGTGTGGCACATTTCCCTCACCTTTAATAGCATTTTCAAGGCCTGCGAAGTCAGCAGGGTTCAGGACAGGTCTGGCACCGGGCAGGTTTATCATCTCCCGCAGCTCCTGTGAATTGCAGGCAGGAAGACGTTACCTCCAGCACAGAGAGGTTGTCCAACAGCCCCATGCCCTCTTCCCCCAGCAGTCCAGGCTAGGAGCCAGCAAATGGGTGCAGGAAGGACTCCTAGGTTCCCCACCCATCCCTAGACCACCTCTCCCCACCAGGGACGGGCAGCCTGAGGCTCAACATTGGGAAACATGGCTGCCCCCCAGCACCCCCAGCCTTACCTTGATAGTAAAAGCAACTTGGAGAGGTCCCCTCCTCCCAACCAGCCAGACGCGCTTCACCTTGCTGCAGGCGAGCGCTGCCAGGGAGCCGGCAGTGATGTCTGTCTTCTGCAAGAGAGAGAGAGGAGGGTGGGACGAGGGCAGATCTGGAGGGAGCTGGGGGGAAGGCACAGCTTCTGAAGGTGAAAAAGCAGCAGAAATGCAGGCTGTGCATACAGGGAGCCCGGGCAAGGATGGAAAACAAGTCATCTCCCTTTGCACAGGGCTATTTGCACAGCTGGTCCCTCATCACTGGATGTGCTTTCCGAGGCCATAATGCGCTACGGGTAAGGAGCCAGCACCCCGGGAGATTGCCTCGGGGGATCCACCCAGGCAGGTTAACCTTGGGGCGAACGGAGCAAAGCCTTCCAGTGATCTCGATTTTGGGGTGCCTGCAGATGCTGTTGGGTGACTTCCCAGCTCGGGATATACAGGCATTTGGGTGAAACCCACTACAAACCACAGCTCAAATCACCGCCTGCCCGCCCCAGGCAGCTCCAAGCACAAACACAAGCATCACCAGGGCTCAACCGATGGTCAGCATCTTGCAGCAACCCCATGCTCTGCTTCAATCACACGCACGTATCTAGATCGCAAGATCATCTTTTCCAGAGGAGATACAATGGCAGGGACACCAGGTAACCAGGACAAACCATTCCAGACCAATATTCTTACCACGAAACTGCCTGTACACTCTGGCACTCATTTCCAGTGCTGTGTCCTTCGCAGCACTGCTCCCACAGCTGGGTTTAGCCACTGATTGGCAGTGCCTCCCAATTTTTTTTTTTTTTGTTATTTAATTTAGATATTAATACAGGAAGTTGTTGCACAGCTGTAACGAACCTCGTGGCATTTCTCCAGGAGGGAGAGCCTTTGCTGCCAACATCTGGGGCAGCAGCTGTACAGAGCAGCTGGTGCACACCAGCTCCCAGCTGTCTACAGGGGAGCGCGGCAGCGGGAGAGGAGGTCCAGCAGCTTGGACCAGCCCCCAGTATGCCCAGTGCCACCAGCAGCAACCAGGCTGCTACCCTCAGCTACAGCAGAAACAAATCGCAACAGGAGAAGCTTCTAGTTTGGTAGTGGAAGAGGCCGAGCAGTTCCTCCTTTGCTTCTCACAGGAAGGGAAGGGATAAAGCTCAATTGACAACCTTTTAGGTAGGAGCAGAGCAACCCTGAGCTTCAGCCTTGGATCACACCCTACGGACTGTGAACCTATGGGGGCAAGAGGCTTCCTTGGTGAAAGTGCCCAAAGACAGCAGAGCCAGAGGTTTTGCTGAGATGGGTGGGAACCAGCGCCCACCCAGCAAGGAGAAAATTTGGGCCCCAGGCTGCCTTCACAGTGCAGGGCATCCCCGTGACTCACCCTGAGGAGAGGCAGCGGGGACAGGAGGATCCGGGCAACATCCAGCGCCACATTGCCGTGACCCAGGATCAGCGCCGTCTCACAGCTCAGGTCGGGCTTCAGCTGTGGGGAGAGAAAGACCCAGCCATGAGTGAATCCACCCGGCCTCCATGACGTGCACCCCCGCAGACCTGCTCCCACCACCCAAATTCCCTTCCACCCCTCTTTTCCCCAAGAAAAGATGATGCAGACGGGGAAACTCCACACCAGCCTCTTCGCCAAGCAGACACAGCAACAGAGCCTCTCCGGGCACCCCAGCCAATCCCTCTTCCCCTCTTCCTGCGATGGCATCTCTGGGAGCAGGAGCTCTTTTGGCCAAAAAACCTCCTCAGGCCAAAGCAGAGCATCACCCCCCCCAGGTTCCCATCTGGCCCGGCCAAAACGTGCTGCCAAACTACAGAGCCAGCTAATCTGCTCTCACTGATGTGCAAATTGTTCACATTTCTACCATCTAAGAAGGATTTAACATGGTACCTGCTAATCTTTTCCAATTGCGGGCCTTTCAGGACTTAATCTGGAGCTGAATGCCTGTGTTCGGATGCAGGATGGGGAGGAAGGGCAGGGAAACACACCACTGTACTCACATCCCGGTTCTCGGGCAGCCCGTTGTACCAGCCCACGAACGCTCGGGCCGAATGAACGCCGGAGAGGTTCTCCCCTGGGATCCCCAGGACTCGGTTATCTTCAGCACCGTAACTCTGAGGAGGGAGCAGACACAGTCAGAGATGTCACCGTGTGCAGGGTTTGATACCGAAACACAAATCTCCCCTTCCAGCTGCTGCCAGGGACCCTGCACGGCTGCCAACCCTTCCCAAGGGCCAGGATACTCAACGGAGGGGCTAAACACAGCCTGAGCACAGGGGCTTCATCCACCCCATCCCCCTGGGCTCCAGAGCCGAACTTGACCTCCTTGGGCCAAGGCAGAGCACAACAAGCTGAGGACCGAACAGGAAGGACAAATCTATGTCAGGCTGAAACAGGTATTGGCCACCACAGGAAAGAGGTTCCTCAAGCGCTGCCCCTTGCAGCGGGGTTTCAGACACGTGCGTTTGATACCATGCTCTAGCACGTGCTCCCTGCAAGGCTTCGGTCAAGTCTCGTAGCGTTTGGGGTGTCCTGAGGCCGGGGAGAGTTTACCATGGCAATAAGGCAGCCAGAAACACCTCACCCAAACCCTCTTCCGAGATCCCAGTGGAGAATAACCCTGCAGACCTTCCCCGCCACTTCTGGGGAGCCAAGGCAGCCCTGGCTCTGAGGCACGGTACCCACCAGCACCACGGCGTGGTAAGCCTGCTGCAGCTCTGCCACCGTGACGTCCCTCCCCACGGTGACGTTTCCGTAGTAGGCGCAGCGCTCCGAGCGTGCCGTCTGCGTGAAGGCATTGATCACATTCTGCCGAGATCAAACAAGCGCCGGGGAGTTACGTCCAAGGCGCAGCCGAGGCCAAGGTCTGCTGCTGACAGAAGGTCCCCGTTCCCGTCCCCCTCAGCCTTGAGATGCTTCTCCCCCTCTCCGAGTCAGTTATTCTGAGACTCTTATCTAACAAGAGCCGCAGATAGTTCACAGGGAGATAAGCACAGCTGTGACTTGG